TATTCTGACCAGACCTGACCAATGCTGGGGAGACATCGATAGCCAAACTCTGACATTTTCTGTATTGCACCCGCGCGTAGGGGCCGCGTATCTGATCCATAAAGCATTATGGATCGCACCACCGCAGCGTAAACTTTTCCCTTGACAGACGAGCTCACGTCGTGTCGGCGCCATAGGTGTCGGAGTTTGGCAAAGCAAATTAATTTATCTACCACGTCGATTGGCTCTCCTGCAAGCATGAGGTCTGGGTTTGTTCCCCCCTAGGCTTTACACCTATGTCTGAGGTGGCACCAGCCTGACGCGTCGATGTTAGCCATAAGCCTTGCAAAGTATCTTCAGGCTAATCATGCATTACAAAAAATCGTCCGCCGCAGGTATTTCATGCGTTGCCAGATAAACGACATTCGGGGTAAGTCCAAACCAGCAGCTCAAAACAGTCAACAACAATGCGCTTCTGTGGATTTCCTGATCTAAAAGCCATGCTCAGTACTACCAGCGATGGGCAAAGTATCCATGTTAGTGAGCATAATGTAAGTTCGCCACACCCATAATTCAGATTAAAAAAGCCTAGCAGGAAGAAATCAAAAGGTAATAGTCCCTGTTGTAAACTCAGTCTCACAAAATGGTTGCTGGCTGACCCACCAAGGACAGCAGTTCATCAGGCTCTAAATTACCGACTGGTTGATGCAGCGAGTGCAAGCTGAAAGTGACTTCGTCATTTTTGGGAACAGCTATCACGTTTGTTTGGTTTACCTAATTAAATAACCGTCTTCTTGTACGGGATTTCGAGTATGTTGTCCGGACGGCATGCCAGAAGTTTTTCTTAAAAGCTCTCAAAATACCAGTGAGAAAACTGCCGCAACTGGAATAATCGCCTGGCGAGATGCAGTATTGAGTAAACTCTCAGCACTATCGCATCGTCAGACGTTACCATACAAAACGATTGAGATAAACACTTGTATACCAATCACTATTTTTAGTTGCCCGGTATGTTTGTATGCGTCTTTATTCAAGAGTGAACGCGAAGCGAATTCTCATAATGAAAATCTTAGAATGTTTTTGTCCAAATTCCTGCTTTGCCGCTGAGAAAAGCCATTCACTTCATTTTGGTCTAATGAAGATTTTAAAATGCAATCACACCAACGGTGAAGTAGTACTTTCTTGGCGGTGGGCGCGAACGGACACTGAAGTAACCCGCAATATAGCAATAATTTTCGGGATTTTTTAGAACCAGTATGAGACGCATGTGACCAATTTTCCTTGATTTTTCAATAAACATTGGAATTTAGAGGACTTTATCTTGATTCTCAAGAGAATATGGCTGCTTTCTTTCTCAAATGTTCACATGTTGATGTAGATCAGTGTAAACGACAGCAAGAATCTTCAAAGATTATTTGGTTTCTTTTGAAATATTTGGAAGTTTTGATATCCGCACACTAAATTTTATTTATTGCAATACGGAGCAATATTTTGCCAATGAAGTCAGCTTTCACAAACGCTTTCCTGAAAATGTTGCTTAATAAACCTAATTTTGTTAGCGTATTTTTCTATATAGAAGAGGGCGATATATGGCTGCACAATTCACAAAATGCAAATGCTGGCGCAGAATGCACAAAAATGGCAATATAGGTATCCTTAACTTTCTACAGAGTTGGCCAAACGGGTACCGAAGCACTGAAGCTGCTGTTCAAAGAATACATACTGAATGGAATGTATGCTATCAATTTACGGATACAGTCACCAGGAATCCTACAGCGGCCTGGATGGGGAAAAATTTCCCGACTTGAACTGGCATACAAAGATATATTCTGGGAGCATGGCGTCTTATGTACAAATATAGCCTTCTTAATTCCACTCAGCTTTCTGCAGCCTTGTTACGGCTGACGTTCGTAGGCACCATTATATGGGACTCATGACCCTTGTCATTTGAGAGATTACATGGCTTCATAAATCCTACATGTGCAAATAACCATAATTTGTATCCACCTTCCAATGTTTTTTTTCATCCGGTTGACTTTACATGCTCATAACTTTCTCCCATTTTCGCACACTATTTCATTCTTCTGAATTTCCCCTAAGGGACGAAGCTTTTGTTTGCCTTTTCTAAAGAAATATCAGGTTAGTTGGACACCCGTTATCGTCGGCCGTGATATGTTTGATCGGTTTTTAGTAGCTGATAATTCTTCAACTTAAATGATGTTTACGGCTGCATACTTATCTCTTGCTGCTTTTCATGCGCTTAACAGGATGGCGAAAAATGCCTATACACAACTTGGTCACTAATGCTCCCTTTAAAAAGCTCTGCCAAGCCACCTACCAAAGTTTCTCAGGGTATCTCGTATTGTTGCAACTCCTACCGAAAAGCACTATCGAGACCTTGGAGGATGATGAAAACTGTTCGTTGATTCCCCCTGTGAATCAACGGTGAACCGCGGTAAATTTCCTTGTTATCTGACTGCTCGTAAGTAGCATGACTTACACCTGTTTATTATGACCACGTTTTGTTTCCTTGCTACTCGTTTTCCCCCCCGTTTCGTTCGACTTAAGGTATGCTGATTCCTCAGTAACTGCTGTCAATATTTTTTGCCCGTTCCTTCGTTGCTTGCAAGTTCGTCTAGATTGCACCTAATTTTCGAGCGTCCACTCCGACGAAAATGCGGACCGTTTGGGTGTCGAATCCAGAGCCTCCAGACGGCAAGCGAACGCGTCATCCACTACACTAACCCTACGCCCGGACCGGCTTATTATTTTGTGTTATCAGTGTACCGCACCTGCCAACTAGTCTTTACCGAGATTTGTTTTAAACGGACGAAACCGCGTGATCTGACTTGTCACGTGACATCAGCTGCCGCGTCGCGCCACCGACCGAAAGACAGTCCCTCACATCCCGAACTTACTGACTCCTGCGCCGTTACGGCCAACTCACACTGTCAGACTCACCCTATATAAATGCCATACAGCGTTTGGTACTTATTCGTTGTTGCCTTTAGAAATCCCTGCTGCGTCAGTGACTATTTTCTGCTCCTGCTGATTGCGTAAGTATTGATTATGCGTTTGCGTAATTCGTGATTCTTACTAATCCGTTCGTCTGTAGAGCCAATTCTAGCCAGTCCTCAATACATCATCTGCTGTCCACGTCTGATTGCTCTTATCGACTACTGGCTACGAACAGCGTATAATCTGATAACCGCAATTGTCCTGTGAGATTCATAGCCGCCCGGATGTTACACTGTTCCCGTGGGACGGAATAAACATCGGTGCCTAAAACCTGCAGCAAGGCCTTGGACACGATTGCACTTCGAATAAGTTTTTATGTGTTCGGTTTATCATAGCCCACCAAATTGCCAGATGTTCAACAAAAACATTATCAGCGGTAATTCGAAGCCCGGTATATTATAAGACTGAGGAAATGAAGAGAAATGTGTTATCCGAGAACATACTCACCTCCGCAAAGTGGTACTTGACAAACGACCCGGGAACTTCTATAAAATAAGCTTTCAGTACCAAACGCCACTTGCATGTATTTTCAACGAAAGTATGCCGGTTGAGCTTAGCCCTACAGTCGATAACAATCTGACAAGCTCCCTGTATGGCTAAGGGAGGTTCTTGACGTACAGCAGAGAGCTCAATGCAATACTATGAACATTCGAAGTTTCAAAACTACGTCAATACCCCTATGTTTCTCAACCCTTTCTGAGAGATTGCCGCTGTCTCCGTTTTCTCACGGATACCTAAGAAATGAGATTTTTTATTTGGAACTAGATGCATAAACCTCGAAACTGAAGCTAATCAGAGTGAGACGCGATTAGTGATTATCCCACAAATATAGTTTGCACTGAGTATGACAACCATATTTGTTGATCCTTGTCACTGTCACAAGCGATAACGGAATGCAAGAACAAATACCACGAACCCTCAGTGGTTATAGGAGCAGAACACTTATAAATACCCCATAACTTCGCTTTCTTAGCCTCATTGGGGCGTTTGTCCCTGTTTTTTGTTCATTCCTTCACGCTTCTGCACTGTTGTGTATCCCAAAAGCTTGAAATCGCATAAGCCATTAGTGCTCGCATGTCTGCAGATACATGATAATGTGTGGAGACTTTAGTAAGTGGTCATACATACAATTTGTCAGTCACTGCTCCCACCTTTTTCCGATTGTGCGGGAAATGCGTCTTTTGCACTGCAGAAGATATATGACTAAATAAAGGTAATAACTCTTCAGCCGTAGCACCACTTTGGTCTCACGTCGCTTCCATGCCACCCGGAGGAAGCAAAATGCACGTGACTGCAAGTCTACATTTACCACTAGTCAAACGCTAATCATTGCATACCGTGTACCGAGGTGTGCGTTACTTTCCTTGCCTAGGCCGGAGTGATGAGACTTCGGAGGTTAACAGAGAGCAACTATTCCACTACGAACATAACATAGATCCAAGTAATATTCTATGGCATTATACCGTCAGAGGCTCCGATGTGCACTTTATTTCCCAACATGTCCCGATTTTATTAGAAACAATTGCAGAGTTGGGACATTCATTGAAACAAGATTGAGTAGTGACTAACATTCTTCATTGGCTTGTTAAAGCGCGGTATGTGTATTGGAAAATTTTGAGAGGCGCAAGTTAAGAGGCGTCTACCTCAAAACATAGGCACTTGAATGATGTGGATTCGCACATGCACTCATGGATGTCGCGAAATCCTGAGCGAGTAAACAGCACTATAAATATTCTTTACTGCTTAATATACGTGAAACATTTTCCTAGGTGATGAAAGCTGAAGGAACTTCTTTCTACTAACTTTCTTCTGTCTGAGTGATTCTGCTGGCTCTACATGTCAATTTGAATTAGACTAGATCTGAAGTTGTTTCACAGGGCTGTTATAAACCATTGTTCTATCTAGTCCCCTCCCGCGTATTTATTACGATAACACAACCCCCACATCACGCGATAACTGTCTTCTATGTGGCGGCTTTGTGAATGGAAGACAAAAGATGTAGTTTCTAATTGTATTTGTTGTGATTCCAAAACATTTAGCGAAGAAAATGTTTTGCAGGGAGAAGAACCTAAATCAAGAATGAACATGGTATAAGATGTATGTAAATATTGCGATATTTTTGCACATTCTGATTCATCTACATACACGAGCGACTTGTCATTGTCAATTCAAAACGCTCAGAGATCTCATATCTACCTGTAAAACATCTACATACACGAGCGACTTGTCACTGTCAATTCAAAACGCTCAGAGATCTCATATTTGTTAGGTGCAGTAAATATAGCCACCGCGATAAACAGTGATGAGGAGGTGTTTAAAAGGTTGTGCACCTACTAATCAATGCACGTATTAGATAACCACGGGTATTAATTGCTTGGGTTTGTGGGCATTCGTTGACGTCTTCCTCAGCAATAGGTGAAGAATCGTTCATCCCAAGCTGTAATTTGACACACTATACTGATAAAATTGGGCATATTTACGCTGCCCACCTATAGAAATACAAAATATATTTTACGCAAATTTCGTAGACGTCTACCAGCTTTTGGCAGGCACATTTTACTGACATCTCGACGGAGGATCAAATAGTGTTTCTCCCCCTCAGGTAAGGCTTCAAAGTGCGTATTTGTAATCCACCGCAAAGGTGGGTATGCCACATCTGCGGAATTATTTAGGTATTTGAATAAGTATTTTGACAAAATAAGAATTTTGATAACGCATCCTGGAACTACGCGCTAGGAAGTGTACCATATCCACTTCACTCTCAATCATTTTGGAACACACGCTTCTCGAAATTGACACGAAATATATATATATTTTTACAGCTGCAAATGATTCACTGCAATATGTGTGCTCTAAAGTTTTGTTGAAATAGTTAATATTACACTGGAAGATGGGAAATTTACCTTCATAGGTTGAATTATTAACAGCCATCCTCCAAGTCTCCGATGGAGGTTTCTTTGAAATGGTGGTGGAAAGGAAAATCTCTTACTGAGCAAGTCAACAAAAGATATCTACAATAATGCCATCGATAAATTTAGCTGCGCGCGTCAACATCGTTTGAATTTTACGGTTGTCACTGGTACACCACAGTATGCATAACGTTCACTTGTCAACACCGATCTTCTCCCTAATGCACGTTTCTGTCTATTCTCTACATCTCAGCGTTGCCATCTATTGGGACAAAACTTTTCCTAGTTCGCTTTTCTTTGATAAAATTTATTGGAATCATCATAGTTGGTGGCGCAGGCCAAAGATTTCATCATCTCAAGGAATGTACTCATTAGGTTATGTTAAAAAGCTACAAAAGTAACCGAATATAAGACAATGTCTGTCCAACTCCAGGATGATGAAGGTGCAATACGAATGTAAAATGCATGCCCGCATACCAAATTCAATTCTGATGGTGGCATCTGAGTTTTACGTGTGTTTTATTGTTGAATTTGCAACAGAAATACAGCGAGAAGATTCATTTTCGCTGATCCATAAAATTTTAGGACTTCATCGCCTCAGGCGGACTGCCGTGGTAAGTTTACGATAATTCCAACCGTTCATTTACCGGCCTCATCTTGATTTATTTGCTCCATATTGTGGTAAAATACGTTGCAGTGGAGAGATTGAAAACTGTCTCTGGTTGCTTAGGGTTCCGATTCAACGGAGATCTTAACCAGCTGTACTGGTTTCCATCAGCTATCCAACGATAGATAGATAATGGCAAGGCCGAGAACATTAAGGACACCATTAACTTAAACTGTGGTTGATTCCATCCCTACAGGACAGCAGCCAATAAAGGCATAATTTGATTTTGTATTGGCAAACTTTGTGCATAATTTTTGATCTCCAGTAGTGAAACTTCCCTTGAAAGTTACGTTTTACTACCAGTTAGCCTTCTACCCTTAGAAGATAAGCGTATGGTAAGGTAATCGACAGTTTATCGGATCATTTTGTTGCAGAAAATCTGGGTAGTTTGCGGAGTTTTCCCGTGACCGCATATCGCGGCCAAACTGCATAGTTGTGGAATACAGCTTTATTGTAAAGTATCACGCTTTTGACGAACAGAAAGTTCACAACAATGATAATAACTTACCCAAGGTACAGCGGCTCATAACCACCTTTGTCATGCGGTTCACGTTAGCCCACGCATTTTCCAAGCTCAAGATCGCGGGTGCAAACGGATGTTTCATGTCTGGTGTTCCAAATTTAGAAGGAAATTTACCAGCTCAATTCCAGGAAATTCTATCATTCACAGTACACCTCATTCCAATTTAATTACAAAATTTTGCTCCAAACTAGACCCGAAAATGTTCATTAGTTCTCAGTTTTTAGCCATGTTATTGTGGCCCTGAGGTAACAGGGCCGCAGTCAAAGGTCCTCTTCGTCAGTTAGGAATCCAACGTTTGCTCCGATTGCCGACGCTGGATCGACAATGAGACGTATATCTTGGTACTGCGAGAATTGTAAATTGCCATACATTAATGTTAGTACTGGTAGTACTGGTTCCAGGATCCAGCCCCAGGAAGTGAAATAAAACTGGCGCGGTATCTGTGGAAATCGTTTTATAGCAGTTTATGAAACAGATACATTCTATTTGGGTTCACTGACCTACTGACTGCTCTTTTGATTTTAATGCGGACTATTTGCATTTTACCAACCATATCCGAAATAATTGCAATCACTCGTGCTTCTACTGGGGTTGATGCTCCTAACTCACTTTGTCAAATTTGGCATCCACTTGCAATATTTCCCTCAAAATTCCTGAAAATTTCATCTGTTTTTGTATTTATTGTGTCACCGCTAACGAGATACACAATGAGCATTTTTTCTTACTCTTTGCTTTCGGTTTTTGTCCCGTTCCATTTTTTTGGAAGTAGTTTTAATTAATTCTTAGTGAACAGTCCGGATACAACCCCTTTCTGATTTTGTAGCGGTTACACGCACATGTAACCATCTGTATTTTGGAAGCACCCCAATTCAGCAGATAGTTGATCGTCGTATAGCTGAGTTTTTTGAGCTGTTCGCCCTTCAGGCGGGTAAAATAAGTTTGTCAAATGCATGAATGCAAGACGCCTTGCAAATTACGGGCTGTGGTGTACAGAAATAAATGCCCCTTTTTTAAACCAACAATTTTAAGAACATATTGGTATTTACATTCAGTGTCTGTTAAAAATGGAAGTGCTACTTCTCAAAACACATTGACAGCAAGATTTGGAAAATTCTTTCACAAACATCCTTTCAATGTGTACCGGTTTCTAAACTGCCTGATTCTTTTGTTGTTTGTTTATCAGACGCAACTGAGTGAAAAGCTAACCTGGACAAAAAGTTGAACTTGAGGTAATTTTTTGTGTCGTACCGGTTTAATTGTCCACATAATCACCGCCAATGGTTGTTAGCGTAAACAAACTTTGCAAACATGACATGTATTGAATTATAGTGCAAATTCAAAGAAGCATACCTCGTGCCTTCAATAAATTGTCCCCATGTAGACGGAACATAAGTTTGCCATACGTCCACAATTTGGCATTCAAATCGATCAGTTTAGCAAAATGCGACTCTTTGAGTTCTGAATCTACAGCGAACAAGCATGCGCAAGATTATGTAACTATGCGTGAGTAAAATAATCTTGTTATGACCTGATATTATTCCGTTTTTGCATAAACGTGCATGCTTCGCCGTGGCGTTTATTTGCTCCTTTAAACCAAGCAATGAAACGCACACCTATTGGACAATGAAAATTTCAAAAAACTAAGCAATAATAGCAGAAACCAACGAATCAACAGCCTGTCGCAAAGCTGCGTTTAACACAACTAAATAACAGCCAGCTATTAGTAGCTGGAATTTCACAGCCGGCAAGAAATGCAATCCCCCGCCAGTTGGATGTCCCTTTCAAACAGCTGGCACCGTATAAGCTTTGATGAAAAAGTTTGACTCTTGCCAAGCCACATCTCAAAGATCCACCAAACGTCATGGTTGACAGTTTCATGAGGACCCTTTCCTACCATAACTGCTTGCATATTTTGTTAAAATGAGCCGGTATCATTAACATCGTCTGACGGTGACGCACATCTGCACAAAATGTAACATAATTGTGTGCTCGAAATTGTAAACTTTTAAGTAAAATTGCGGATAAGTGATTCAAAAATTATTATCACACCTGTGCACTTGTCTTTTAAAGTCCGTGCTGATGACAAGGCGGCTTTTGCAAATGAAACTGCATCGGCGATCAGCGGTTCAGAAAATGCCCTGCCTTTGGCTGCAAAGAGAATTAGTAAAAAATTAAGCTGGTAAAAAACCTGGAATATATGTTATAAATTAGCTTCCTTCAAAAGGCAAGGGGTTCAAACGAAACATGATATAATGGACACAATAAACTTAGTGGGCAGGTATTACCACTTGATATAGTAACAACTGAATTGTAACGATGTCAAAATAAACTCAATTCCTGAATTTCTCTACAAGCCCAGCGAACTTTTATCGTCTAAATCTTCCTCTGTCAAAACATGATTTGATGCAGTCCGACTACCGTGGCATAATACAGAAATCCGTGATTGATTAATCAACAGTTTAATTTGTACACTTCCTCAAACGGTTTTGTAAGGGTTTGTAAATATTTAAAGACAAGGTTACACCATCTCCAAAATTACGGCTTGTTTGCGGGGCAAAAGTAGTTAACCAATTATGCTCCCAGAAGCCTATGGCTTGCACGGTTTACTATCCAATACTGAAATACAAATTACAAAAATGGCTAACTAGCACGGTAATTTCAAGATATCTGTACGAAATTTCCTTGTGAAACAAAATTGTATCAACTAATTTGCTAATCATCGGATAGAGTGTTTGGCCATGTCTCTCGCAACCACATACCAAAAAAAGTTGGGAGACGGTAAACCGCTTTTCATTATGGTAATAAATCTATCTTCGTACGATTGAATCAAGCTACGGAGTAATTTGTCAAAAAAATTGTGCCTATATACAAAAATGCATGTCACTGCCATCAGGTAGAATTTTCGTTTGGATGGACTGGAATGTCCTTGTGTAGGGTAAAGTAGGTATTAGGATATAAATTTGAAGTGACGAGATATACGCCACAAACTCGGCACAAACGCTCATATTAATAAATTAAAATAACCTCTCCTAGAATAACAGAATTGATTGATAGGTATGAAATCATAATACAACTCTGGCACTTAACCTCACGGCATAATTTTGGCAAACCTTTAATAAACACATTTTTCACAAGTAAGTTTAGCAGTATTAGTAAAACGCGATTTCAGCCTGCGAGATGAGCCCTCAAACGAGGCTGAGTCTCTTTTACTATTATCACCAACTGGTTGTTTTAAATGCACTTCTGAAGGCAAGGGTAGAATAACCGAAAAACAGGTGCTTACGCATAAAGTCGAGCACGCTTTCCTCCTGGATAATAATGGTTGGATGATGCTCTTCCAAATGCTCCACGGTTGCATTCAAAATTTTGGCGTAAACTGGAGCCGCGTTATCGTCCCGCACTAAGTAGAATCAATTGTGTCATGAGAAAATGTCGAACAGTTTATTGCACGAACTTTGTTCGAAAAAGGAGAATCGCGTATAAAAATTATAACCCTGAAGCTACCTAGGATTTTTAGATAATCCACGGCCAGCGGTGAGCCAAAAGCGTTAACTAGACAGCAATACAAAATACACATCAAGCGGGCGAGGATCGGCTACTTTGCCTAGCATTATGTTGGAGTATCAATGATAATTTTGTCCAACGAGAGTGAGTTTGATAAGTGGTCCAATGCTACTCACCGCACTGCTTATAAGCTCCTAAATATAACTTATTTTTGAGCACTGGTTTTTTTAGAAATTAGGCACTTGTCCTAGCTTACACAATAATGGGATGTTTCCATGCCTATGAGTTTGTGCTAGATATCTAAAGCAAACATATTTGCAAGTGAGAAGCGCATCTTAGCATGTCTGGAGGAATTGTAAATCAGTTCATTCATTGCATTTTGGCACCCAAAATGAGCTGATTTTGAACCTAATGTCTTCAGGTTATCGGTTCTAATATTTTCGAAGAAAAAAATGCACATATGTAAACGGACGGCGTGTTTTTCCCAGATTTTTTAAGAAAATAACTTACTGGAACAAACAATGGATTCTCGGCTTTCAAGATCTTTTAGCTCCCAATTCACTCCATAGAGATATGTTCTGTAAGCTCCAAAGAGTAGGGTCCGATAGTCTATCATAAGAGACGGAAGATTAAATCGGAACTTACTGGCATTCTTAGGCAATACATACTTTGTCACAGTGCAGGTACACACGTAAACGGTGACATAATTTTGAACCACTGTTTTATTGTCCCTGGATAAGCAGTCTGGTGAACAATGTTTTACCTCAGCTCCCAAAAAAATTCACTTTATGGACCAGAACATTTTGTGCACGCAAATATTCTCAAGGTAAAAAGGCGAAATCATGGTTTATGGAATGCTAACCGGAAACGCAAAACTTGTGATACTTTCTTAAGTACCTAGATATTGGTTTGAACAGGTATATCCACATGTTTTTAGCCTATGAATTTCCATAATAATCTAAAACACGTTACCTTCGGAATTCTTCAGACTCGAAATGATGAAGTTCAGTATATCGGATGACGTTTGTAGTCCACCAATAAGGTCAAGAACTTGCACCGTCAAACTTTCTAAAACGTTTTCAGCTGTGAAGCGAAAACAAAGCAATATAATTGGAGAGCTTTAAACCGAAATGTGGCGTTAAGTATTGTGATTGAAAGGTGATTTGGATAATACCGAGTTGAAAAGCACACCGAATTTACTTCAGGCTATCTTTCCGTAATCGATTCTCGTAGCTAACATCTGTTGAGGTTTCTTGCAGAATCATTTGTAGGGCGCATTTGTTATTTTTGTTCCCTCCTGATTTTTTTATTTCGCTTAGTCATAACAGTTGTCCGAGATCAAATCCACTAATCTCACAACAGGGTTTTAATATCAACCATCATATTGTTTTCCATTGCATTTCTGGTTATCAAGCAGGCTTTCGTGTCCTGAAGATTTTTTTCCTCAGCTGTGCAATTGCTTATAGGGCAGCCGACGCCATCAGATTTACATAAAACCCTAGGCGGTTAAACGGGCTATCGTTTATCTGTCCATTACGCTTAATGCTGTACTTGCAGAATTATCCTCAGTCGACTTCTCAGATGGATGGTTTCCCTTAGTAAATTATCAACAAATATTCTTTAAACAAGTACTATTCCGGTATAATACATATATATACATACAGATATATACATATATTTCCTTTTGTTGTTTGACTTTAAACTTTTAAAAGTGGGTATTCAATTCCTTTGGTATTCAGCATATTTGTTTCCGAAGTTTTATGCCTGAAGGTTGCTATACGCAAAGTTGTTTACTTAGGCAAATTTGACAAATTACGGGCTAATATAGTAACACAACCAGGATAGCAGTCCGTTTTGGAGACCAGCTGGAAGATCGTAGACACTAGAAACTAACCACAGCAAGGTCCTCATGCTTTATTGTCCTAAGTGTATATATGTGTCAGATGTACAAGTAAACCTAGGACCAGCCGAAAAATCTCTTCATCTTATCTTCTTGGTTTTTTGCATAGGCTAACTTTGAAGGCTGAACAGGACAGGCAGTATGCTTGTGCTCGTCAACCAATGGCTAATTAAAACAGAACCTGATAAGGTATTCACTTTATTGTTACAGTGAAGGTTCGGAACTCTCTGTACCGAGTAGAAACATTAGTCCATATTTTTCCCTTGAATTTAACAAATTAGAATACTAATAGGTGGTTTTTGCAACTAAAATCACTCAACGACTTGGATATGCGATTGCAATGTGCTGAAAATTTAAAACACTGTCAAATGGTCCGATACTACTTCAACATCAAGGCTGGTTTGCCGAAAAATAATTTTTGTAATGATTCATGAATCCCCTGTATCTGGCCTGCAACATTTAAGAATAAAATGTCCAAGTTAAACTACTGGATAGTGCGCCTCAGTGATTTCCTCATAAGTCATCAAAAACAGTTTTTAAATGATTATAACCTACCTAAACAAGGTGTTTCGGGAACACCTGCCAACCACTTGTCTATTTTCTTCAGAGTATCAATGACGAACCGCATATGTGCTTTCCACTGCTTTCTGGCGAGCTCTAAAACGTTGAAAACCAGTAAAATACTTTAACGCCATTTGGAATGTGCACCATTTTTTATTAAAATTGCTTAACAATAATTTGAGCAGAAGAGAACGAATTCACCACCATGTCCTATCGAAGAAATTTTACAAAAGCTTGATTATTGGATTAACTACTTTTCTCTAGCAGTCCCAAAACCTCTCACGTTTTGTACCCAAGTGCAAGTGCACATATTTCTCTTACAGTGAATTACTTGGAACCACCACCTGAGACGCAAATAATGTACATCTACTCATCATGAAATATAGAGTGGTATGCATCTATATTAGCGTCTATAGTGTTGAGAACTTTTACAAATAAGAATTCTACCCGTGAATATAAACTTTCTAGATAAAATATGCTTACTTTCTGCGTGCTCTACCTCATTGACCTTTGGTAAGATATCCGTATTCGATTTAATCAAAAGAAGTTGAATCCATACTCTGACTTACTTGGCAGGTACGTATTTAAATTTCGCAGACCATTGGTCACAAACTCCTTCAACTTTTTCACGAGTTGCTGCAACTCCTGACTTGAATCATTTACTGGAAAAATGAAAACATCCCAGAGTCGTGACCCACAAATTATTCATGCAAAAGCCTAAATGATGAGCGAATCAGAGGAAAACTTAAACCGGCAAACGTTCATAGATCATATTTCTAGGGTTTCTTGTTGACATATCCCTTTATAACATACCTGACTATTCACGCGTTTCACGGTGCATATATATTTGATAACATGCTAAGGGATGCATGATGGTAAAAAGCTGCTCTGACATGATAAAGCTGGTCAGGGAAAATGCGCTCAGTGGAGCGCTTATGTTTGTATAGTTTGTGACTGTTAGCAAATTAATACAGAGCATGTGTTCTCCCGCCAAGCAAGAAACTGATTGAATGCTACAGTTTAATTAAACGCTGCACCTTTTTTTCATTTTTTACTAATTGTCATCCTCAATTTTTCTAATTTGTTCTTTTTTGCGATACTGATTTCTACTTTGTATGAGAAAGCAAAGTGGCCTCATACATCCGTTTGCACCTTAGTTTTTTTCTAGTATGATTAAAGATATGAATGTAAGGCGTTTTTGAATTGGTGGATACTGCTAACTCAGTTGCATTTATCATCCAGTTGTAAACTAATCTATTTTACACCTTTGCATTTTGTCCTGTTAAAAATAAGGCCAACACAAATACGTTCCAGGTAACGCTGTTTATTGACTTTCGACCAGCTAATTAGGGCAGAACTTACACGGAAAACCTTTTCCTTCTAGCGGGCACGAATTCATGCTTTTCCTCTTTGAAAACAAATTTCAAACCTTAAAACTGTAGAACACCACGTTTGTTGTCTCAGGGGCACTAGGAGGGCGTCGCTGTAAATATTTTTACGGCGCACTGGAATCACGAGGATTTACTTGCTCAAAGCGTATTCCTGAGTTTAAAATAAAATACAAATACCACTGTTGAATGCAATTTCATCATTGCTAGGGGATATAAACCTTTTCTGGTTGATGGACATGTTCAACTGTGGTGTCCCCTAAAAGTCATACGGCATGTGAGTGATCTTTGTGTTCCATTTATGCCGTCTGTTGTTTTTTGGGTTAACAGTGTCCCATAACGTGGAATATAATCAATTATCATAGGCGTAAATTTGGTTTTGTCTTTCGCTTCAACCAGCATGGATGAAATATCCCAACCATGTATGCAAACTCAGCTCTATGGGACCTCAACTAATGAACGCTGGATAGGACTCGTAATGTTTCAAAGATACGGCAGAGTCATAATACCACAAATATGAATTTCATTAGCATAGAATTTTTTAAACTCAAAGTATTGTGAGTATGGTCCAAACGGGTTTTTTTTGTGCGGCTCTGGCATTTATTTACTATCTCATCTCTGTAGCACACTCAGCAATAGCGTTTGCTGTGAAAAGTTAACGTTGAACAAAGTTAACTTACTTGGGCACTTGCCGATGTGGTATTTCGTCAATACCTGGTCCAAGCCATCGACCTGCTTTGCATAACCTTCCAAAACCAACCCTCCAGCTATAACCTTCGCCTCCACTGAAATGGAAAACACTCATCTGTTACCGGGTGTAATTACAGACTTATAACAATAAGAAACTGGCCAGTGATTTGACTGACTGTGTACTCTCTAATGCCAGCGGCAGATTCTTCATTTTGTTTCAATGTAAGCAAACGGTCGTTATATTGCTGTAAGTCTAGCTATTGATGCGATCAAATTCAAATAAAGTAGAGCAAATGTATGTATCCTCCATTGCTTAAATCCAGAATAAAATTCATGCCACCGTTCCGTAAAGCGTCATTGCCTAAAATATGTCAATAATGCAACATTCCGGGTTTTTTGTTTGCAGTGAATATGTATAGCCGTTTTTTTCTGATGACGTACGTTTTTGATGAACTTTCTACCAACGCTTTTCTTCGCTAAAACAGCGTTTCAGCACTTTAAATCGGATAAAAATGCGCACGATACTCCTATTTTGCCTGATGACATACGTTTTTGATGAACTTTCTACAACGCTTTTCTTCACTAAAACAGCGTTTGAGCACTTTAAATCGCATAAAAATGCGCACGATACTCCTATTTTGCGAACATGTAATTTCCTATAATCACGCTTCCCTCCTTGCATAGGGTAAACGTAACTCGATTGGCAAACTTCTTGCGGTCTGGATGAATACCTTGGATGAATACCTGCTCAGGATTTTTTTACAAAAGGTATGGCGCTAGTTACGGAACTCCTGCTACTTTCAATTAACAAATCATCTCCAAAAATTCTTGGCGAATGATTGCGTCTATGGTACACCTCTTGTGACCTTCACTAAATTCGTAAACCGCACGGCTGAACACTTTCTTTTCTACGTCGTTTATGCTCAATATGTTTGGACTTAAAGGTAAGCAAACATTATTCCACCAGGTGGTTATGGCGGCGCCATTCGGAAGCAAATATAAGACATATGCGCGTGATTTATCAATGACACACTGCAGAACTTCAACGAAGGCCTCCCTGCTGTACCGTTAGGCTTCCTTTTTTCAGCCAGCAACTAGAGACATGGCTGATGTAGATTAGTCTTCAGTTATAATGTAATGAAGTACAGATTAGGCGTGGCGAATACGGCACCCGAAATTCAACCGGTAGGCTTGGATTTTCAAACATTTTGAGGCTTAGACAGACTTTTCAGTATAAATGCGATGAGATTGTACGGCAGCTTCGAGAAATGCTCATTAATTTGAATGGCAAATAATTCTTAGGAATAACGTGCACTTCTTGAAAATCCATGAAGATTTTTTTGATTGTTAAAATGCCTTCGTAAATGTGGTTATCAGACGGAGTCGTCTATAAAGCACTAAGCGGAAGTTGCGCAACAGTCGCGCCTAACATTGTACCAGCCGTGTGTTATTCAGAGTCCGAATGCAAATTGAGTAAATGTGGGCAAACTTGTCTTTTCCAAGTTTTTTTTTCATTTTTTAAATGCACTTTTGATTGTGTTTACTCTTCATATACACTTTAGTCCGAAGGCTTATTTTGAGTGAACTTGGGAAGTTAGTTACATGTGTTTCTTATAATTGGAAGAAAGCCTCGAAAATTGTTCAAAAAGTGCATTTTGTAAATTCATTCATGATGGCTTGAGAGATAATTCTCTGAATCTCCTATTGAACTCAGCAGATATCCAAGTAGAATTCACTTCAAAAACTCCTTAACTTAATGTGTATGTTGTGTCTAGCCTTCAGTTAGCTAAAGGTTATATTGGAACCAAAAGCATGACCAGTAGAATGGTTAGTAAAGGTGACCATTTATGGCTTTCCAACTCTCCCAATTTCCACTGAGGTATTTTGCAAGATTTCTGATACCCACAAACCCAATTTGTGGTATCACTTTATAAACTGACCGCCTCATTAGAAAAACGCTCAACTAGTGAGTCACATCATTTCTACTATTTTTTCTAGTTTTATACGGATTGTGTGGGCTTCCTTGATGCTCAACTGTTACGAATTCCGCCAAAGAATCTGGATTTGAACTTGAGAATCGCTGCCTGCTTCAGCCAAACAATCTTGCTGCAATGCTTTTGTTACATGCATAACAAAATCATGTATCCCAACAGGCTAATTTGTTGTGCATTACACTGTCCCGTGAAATCTAACGTGACTTCTGTTTTCCACACTATTCATGATTCTAACGTGAACTGGATAGAAAGGATCATTAAATATGTGGCTACCTACACGCCACTCTGTTCAGGCGGTTGAGATTTCTTCAAATGTTGTAAAGAATTACTAACCATTAGGGCAAAGTGCAATGTTCCACACATGTAACACGTACTTAGGGATGTTACTTTCCCATAGCTGACGTTTTCTGCAATAATGACTGGAATATTCATCCACTGTATGCAATATGTTCTCCTCTATAAAGGTGATCTTTTGTGGCGCACACAGCAACACACAGTTACACACATCACAGACATCACTGTAAATGCAAACAAGTAGATGTTGTACTTTTAAATCACTGTTTCAACCAAGCCAGTCCATTTCCATACTTCGTTGTTAGGTTATGACATCCGGTTATAGCCTAGCTTGACTTGTCATAATTTAGATAGATTTGATTGGTTTTAAATTATTGCTGAAAACTTGTGACAGTTGCGTAGACTTTTTCTGGCTCAGCTAGGGGAAAGGCTGCTGCACAAAAATATTTTGTTCCGCGACCCATTATCCATAGCCGCCTGTATTTCCTCTTACGCTCTGACGGCCAAACTTTGTGTAACCAATTTGTGTGCTGTTACTAATGTGAAGTTAGATGTAGAAGAATATTCAGTTAACAAGCCGGAAACCAACTGTCATTCTGTACGATAGTCACCGTATCTAAAATTTAGCAGTTTTAGTAGATCAACATTTTTTGGCTTTCCAGTGATATGGAGTTTTCAAGCAAAATTCGAAGGTCTTACCTGTGCCTCCGGCTGAAGTATTAACTGGTTTGCAAGAGTGTATAGAACGTTGAATTAAATAAAATTTATTGCTTGATTTCTCAGACACTATTGATATCGAATTTGATTGACGCATAGTGAATGAAAAGTCGTGACCAGTTTAATAAAAGTCAACCAATGCTAAACGTCTTCTGGAAATTATCGTTTGATCTGTTTGGGCGCAGAATATTCTAACTGAGTCGCCTGTGATGTCCCTAAATAGAAAGCAAGTTGATAAGTACAGTTTCATTTGACTGTATGTAATGGATTGTCATTATATAAATTCACACGGTTTAACGTTTGACAATAAAAATTAGCGTAACTGCTTAACGACATAAAACAACATTAAACGGATCGCTTCGTTTACGCCAAGGCTTCGAATCTTTTTCGAATGTAAAAGACTAAACAATCGTGAATTTTAATTACACTTTTCGTGTGAATAATAATAGTGAATGGATAATAATAAGTAATAGTTATGAATGAATAAATACATAAATGAAATAACGACTAGGGAATGTATGTGAATAAATGAATAAATGTTGGATACATCGCAAATCCTTCAAACAGTGCACATCGAATATTGTGCTGACGACCGCGTAAAATAACACTGAGCCTTCGTTATCAGTTATTTTCCCGATTACCGCGGTCTAGACATTTGACAAAATTCCAACTCAACTCTCAAATCTAATGCTTCCGAAAGTTCCACTGTTACCGATATGCAAGCAATTCTTCTCTTCAATCCATAATTGTACCAATAATTACTCTGGAGCAAAATACGGATATTGTTCCGCTTGTGTATCACCTGTTGTGCTAATCATACGGTTGGATGCACCGCAAAGATCCCATTGGCTTACGTATTTCAAGCTTCTTTTGCTCAGCATCTTGAAAACGGCGTCTGGTATTTACCGGAAAAAACCTGGAAAATCTCAATGACAAACTGCTGGCCACGTTTATAAACCTAATGGGATAATATGTCTAATATCCGGCTCCAAATACCAACACGGTGTTGAGTCTTCGCTTAGCACATGTGCCCTGTGGGATGTGCATAGTATTAAAGAAAACATTCGCGATAGAATACCGGTGCATCTTTTTCTCTGTCAATAACGCAAACCTAGCAGATTATGACGATTCTAAGAATAGCAAAATTATGCTCAATTTTAGAGCGACTTGAGGATGTCGACTCAAAACAACTTTGCCATCTTTATTTTGTCCCTCAGTCTTTTCTGTCTGGAAGTCAGGTGGCGTGCAGAACCGTTTTGCGCCGCGGTTTTTACTTGGTGTACATCGTTCATTGTGTGCAAATGTTTTTCTGGCGAGTCAAACCACAACGTTATTAAAATTACTCTGAGTACTCTGTACGTTGAGAATACAATGAAGCAATTTTCAGCTAATTCACTCTCCTTATTCTTACAGGTGCTTGTGGAATTTTTATGCTGTTCCGAGTTACAGCAAATTGGATCTACATTTACATGCTAAGTACACTGCCAGCACTTTTCTGGTATGCTTGCAATAAAAGTATGCCTGTCCAAGTACACGCCAGCACTTTTCTGGTATGGTTTGCATAAAAGTATGCCTGTGACCAATGGGAACATGGTGACGATTCCTCGTGGCTGTTTGCCGTTGTTGCTCTCATTGAGTTCTGTATTCATGTATCGTCGTCCACTACTTTCTGTTGAACCCCTCTAAAGTAATACCCGTTGATGAGTTTTGTCCAACAAAACCGCATGCATGCACTTCACACTCATCGTGTAACCACCGAATACGAAGTACTCCAGTGGGAAACAACTATCTGGACTTCTAAAACGAACCACTTACTCTAAAAAACACAGAGACTCAAGATCGTAAATGGAGGGGTCAAGAAAACGTACATATATTCAAAACAATCTACGTGTTAAATTAAGATATTTGTTTTTCAAATTTGATAGGATTTCGAAAAAACACGCTGGATTTTCTGGTACACAATACTTAGATAAGTCAAGTGCTAGCAAGTCAACTCGACATTTGGTATCACAGTAAACTGCTAGAGTCTTACCTCTTCGAACTGAGCAACAAAAGATAACATGGAACAAATATTTCTCCTCTTACAGTAT